ATCGTAAATTTGAAATCTTGAATTAAAACTGATCATAATTTCTTGTGGTTTGGTTCTTGTTGTGTTCATGGTCTTTTTTATCTCAATCATATTCATAGTAGCATAGACTGATAAACTATTGAACAAAGCACTCAATTCTAAACAAACCCATGTCTTTGTTACTTTGGTGAAATCTTTGCTCTGTTTGGTATTTGAAACTCCTGATATCTTCTCCACTGTGACTACCTGGAACCGGATATAAAGTTGACTATCTATGGCTGATATTGGGTACTTCTTGATTTTGGTACTTGACTGGCTGATTTTTTTTGTTTAATCGGAAACTTCAATCACCGTACAAGGTTACTATAAAAGTCTGGTTTTTGGTTTTGCAAACTTTGTTAGATATTTTTTTCTGTTCCTCTACTTTAGGAGCTTTGTTATTCTGTTAACTTCATGACTAGTCGATTGTGTGTTCGTGTTTATGTTCTGAAAAGTTTAGTTTAAACAAATACAATTCTGCGTTTGGTTGATTGTGAGTTGTGATAAATTCATTTTCTTTTTGTTTTGTGCAAGTCCCAAACGATTCCAAGGTTTTGATATTACTAGTCAATTCTATGTTTAAAAACCAAATTTATGTCTCTCTTTGAAATGTTTTTTAAGGATAAAGAAGATGAGTGGTGAAGTTGCTAGAGTTTACCGTGACCTTGTCAAAGCAGTGGTGAAACATGTTGGAAAGGAAGATCACAAGCTTCATTTCACAGATTTTGTAAAGTAAGAATTTTGGAAGAATGTAAACTCTGCCTCGACCTGAGAGAAATTCAACCTTGCCCGCAATTACACCTATCTTATCAATAGCATTCACGCCCACAAGGTCAAGTCTTTTATGCTTGTCAATTATGATATATGTTACCTCTTGTGTTTAGTCTCACATGGATAAGCAAACTGGTTGTTGTTGCAGGATCTGCTCTTCTCATACAACATTGCGGTTGATAGAACCGAAGAAATGAAAAGAGTGCTTGGGAAATCTGCAGCTAGTGTAGGGATTCGTCTTCCCGAGGTTTACCAACCTTGATCATGCAATGCATACACATTCCCTTTGTCTTTCCGCCACTCTGGTTTCTTCATTTATTTGGATAGATCTTTGGTAGTTTATGATACTAGATGGAGCCAAAGAGTTCCTCTCCTTTGAGCCGCTATGCATTGACAAATCTCAGATGTGTAGCTTTCAATTCTTGTTATTTGGTAACAAAATAAGGTACGAAGAACATATTCAGTCTCCAACCAAATTGAGAGAGAAGTCAAAATTAATGGCAAATTGTGGTACATATCAAAATAGTAATTGACAAAAATTCCTTACTAATCAAAATACTAGTTGTGATGTTCCTGTCTGAAATTCTCTGACTTGATCAGCATTCTGATCTGATGTAGCAAATGTTATCCAAGACATAACAAAGCATACAAGTCTTGAAAACCTTAGCTACTTAGAGAAGTTTGTTCCACATCTTTGAGGTATATCTATATTTGGATTGTAAGTTAAATATGGTAAGCAAGACTAATGATGAAGAAAGTAGAAAGACTAACCAAACAATATTGGGTTTTATCCACATGCTTGGCTTGTTTGTCTCAACACTCTCAAGATCCAACATTTTCCTCTTCCTTCCCTTGGTAAGACATTCTTTTTTATCATCTTCTCATGGGTTTTGATTGGATCTCCTTTTGTTCTAAGTATTGGAAACTGATGTTTGTACCAAGGTCATCATGATGAAAGCTGTTGGTATTTCTGCAAGTGATGTTCACTATCTCAAGGTACTTACTTATTTAATCAGAGATAATCATTTTTACTTTTCTTTGATTTGTTATAGTCTTGACGTTGGTTTTGATGGTGCGAAAACAAGACCATGAGATGTGCGGATTTCATTGTGAAAGAACCAATGGTTATTGGACATGAATGTACGTACTGGGATCATTGAAGAAGTAGGTGAACAAATGTGGGTTGAGACAGGGAGGTAGATGTGGTAGGTACAAGAAGAACACATAGCCTTTTATGTCTTGAGAGTTGCTGAAAAGTGGCAAGATTGATGTAAAGCCACTCATAACCCACAGATTCGGTTTCTCTCACAAGGAAGTGGAAGACGCATTTGAAACCAGTGCTCGTGGCAAAAGTTCTAAGAATGCTTCTATAACTTTGTTAATGCTCTCTGAATCTTTCTTGAATAGATAAATCCCTTGTGACAATCTGATAATACAAATCCAAACATTACAGGACAGAGAATGATGATATTGGACAAAAAAAAAAGAGACCAAAATTTGACTAGAACATCAATAAGAAAGAAGAAACATTCTTAATAGACTCACACTACACATCAATTAGTTATACATGACACTAGTCTCTATGCTACGTCGATTATATCAAAACAGAATTTGTGAAACGGACAAATTTGCTCATTTATCACACATGCCAAATATTGATT